CGTCGTCATCGCTTATTTGAGTGTGCATGTAATTTGCCAGTCATGAATTAGATTTATGATAACGTAGGATAACATTGAAATATTGTTATTTTTATGCATTGCTACGTTTTGTTTATACAAAACACGTATATATGGTCCTTTTTAAGCACGAGTCGGTACGTACCTAGGCTCGCTCTTTTATGCATATCATCTTTTGCTTAATCCATCCATCCGTCTTTTCTTTGATACTCTTCATTTACATCTATCCACATTCATATTCATTATTTTATGTCAAACATGGTTTTCGTTCTTTTACATAACATAGCAATATTAAGATCGTTAACTTCGTATTTTGTCTCTAATACTTTGTAGGACAATATACCTTCGATCATTTCTCTTCTAGCCTATTTTGAGCTCCTATTGCAAGTGCGCTGTGCGTGTGCACTAGTGCAATATGTCGTGTAGCGTGTAATAAAACGCGCGCTGTCGACGAACGTCCTGGGACCGCGGGTCGAAGCTCCCGGAAACGCGCCGTATATAGTAGGAGCGCGACGCCGGGCGGCGAGCACATGCTTGTCATCACAACCGACATGCTGACACATATGTCACCTCGCCTGCTCACCGATAGCTTCCGCTATCGCTCACGCACACTGCTGGCCAATCGAGATAATCAGCTCTATACTTTTAAGCGACTTTAAAAATAAACTTTTTCATTTTGGAAGTAACTACACTGTATATAATATTTTCTCGAACATCATTCTGTGTCAAAGGTCTGTATATTATGTGAGTTTTGTTATCCGAGCTAGACTTGTTTACGCATATTTCTATATGTGTATACGAACATAAAACAACTGATAACCCGTGATTAATCTCGGATGATCTTCCACACCTAGCGGACAAGTCATCTGAACGTGTCAACTGAAACACCTATTTGGAAGATAATGGCTGCTTTTATTATTTATTGTAGCGCGGTACGACAATATTGTGCAGTTATATCTTAATGTTACAGTAGGTATGTATGCAATTGTATGCAGACGTTTTCATTTTCCGCGACGATACCGCCACCGAGTACCTAATTTAAGAGTATCTCCATATAATTTCATATATTTTACTCTCCTATTATCGTATCGTGTCATAAATTATAAAAGCGCTTATAAAAAAAATCTTAATGTCGTTCTATACACCACCACCAAATGACCTCTATTGATTGCAAAAATATCTATAAAAATCGCATCAGAATCGGTGAAGTTATTGTGTAACATACTTACTAAAAAATTATAAATTAATTGAATTGGAGGCAGACTTTGTAAAAAAGTCGTCTGCTTGAGAACCTCTGGTCCATTCCATTGCATCATCATATTTCTGCCTCACGGCAGAAATATGATGATGCATGCATGCATGATGATGATGATTGCATGGCTGTTTCGGTTTGAATGGTGGAGTATATCGCTATCATTACATTTCCATCCATATAAAAATACATCTTAGTCTTCGGCATGGGCAATTAACGGTATCATGGGTGATACAGTATTCTCTGTTATGTCCAGAGTACTGTTCATGTCTTATACCACCACCACCATACCATACGTATACCATTACGTGAACAGTCACTTTGTTTGCCATTCTAAGTTGCAAAAATAATTGGGGACCTACTTCATTTTAAAGATCGCTTAAAAACTAGCATAAACTTGCTTAAGATACTAGCAGAGAAATCATGATGCTATGCTACTAGCATTCTGATATACCAAGCGACGGATTGTTATGTCATTTCCATGGGTAACCTACTTACGGAGCATCATGTTTTATGTGTGTGACCAACTTTTGACAAGTAGGTATACTGTTTGACCACAAACCGGTCGTGGTCAGGGTGGGCGATACACACAGCACATGTTTATAAGGCATTATGTAATGGTTTATCGTGTTTGGTTCTTTTACCTTTGACATATTTTTGTTATGATACTCGTTTTGCTTGTATTGTAAGAAAAAAACATTTTTTTTATACAACTTACAATGGCAAACAAGATGACGGCCCACCTGATGGAAAGTGGTAACCGTTGCCTATAGACATGAGCAGTATCATGGAAATAACAGAGTATACTGTTTCTCCCATGATACCCCCCATGCGTTGCCATTTCTGAGGACTCAGGTGTTATTCCTCTGTACCCAGTAAATTCACGCCATATCCCACCCTTCAAACCGAAACACAACCATGCAAACACAACTGCTACACGGTTGAAACACGAATGGGACAGAGGTACCCAAGCAATCGACTTTTGTACAAAGTATTCCTCTGGTAATTTATTTCACAAAAAAAACAACAGAATTATTGTTGACTAGGATATTCTTATTTTAAAACAAAAAGTACTGATGAACAATAAGATGTTTCGCAGACAGGCATTAGATTTAGAATATTTCATACAAAGTCTCCCTTTATACAAAAGTCGTTTGCTTGGCCACCTCTGTCCCAATCGTGTTCCTGTCGTGAAGCAGTTGTGTTTGCATGGCTGTGTTTCGATTTGAAGGGTGGAATATGGCGTGAATTTACAGGGTACAGAGGAATAAGGCCTTTCCCATTCCTGAGGACTTAGGTCCTCAGGAATGGGAAAGGCAGGGGAGGTATCATGGGCAAAATAGTATATTCTGTTCCATGCCTATTGGCGACGGTCTTTCCATCAGGTGGGTCGTCAGCTTGTTTGCCATTCATCAGCTTGTGTGTTACGCGGCACAGTGTGTCAAATGTAGAATTAATCCTGTCAATCAGTAAGTTTAACTAGTTTCTAGTATCTTTGTATACATAGATTTCGAAAGTTATGTTTAAATGATTAAAGTAATTTATTTAAAGGATGGTTGGCAAGTCAATCATAAGAGATTACTTGATATCGATAATTCTTGCAGAAATAGCTTTCTACGTCAGTACAGGTTTGATCTTATGTGTAACCGCTAACTTGGATTATACGCTTTCTTGCGCCTCTCTCGATTTCCGCCAGCCCAGGAAATATTATCGCCTAGTTATCGGGAAGGCTTCGATTTCTCTTCAATATCCAGTTGGTGATCCACAATGATTCAGTTTATTTTTATTTCCATGCATGTTACGATGATATTTTCACTAATGATTAACGATTTTGAAGACGTTTTTGCAATCTGTGCTGCTTTTTGCGTAGCACTTGTAACATTTTATCTTTTGTATCTTTATGTACCTACTCAAATTGCTTCGATTAAAATGCATATTTCATATTCATGTCAACCGTTGACTGTCCACTGCTGCACATAGGCCTCCCTCATAAGTGGGGGGAGGGAGAGGGGGGCTTAACCAGTAGTTGCTAATAATATAATAATTTACTAACATGTATATATTAACCGCTAATATATATTAGGGGTTCAGTCGGCTGTTACAATTTGATGTTGGCTGGAAATGAACTTATCTAATGAGGCCAGTAAAGCCATCGATGGTCGTTATTGGCCTTTCATTTCTTACACCTTATTTAACAAATGCAAATTTTTATTGTTTCATTATTTAAACTAATGGTAACATGACATTTAACTGATAACAATGGAAATTTTTTGACGAAAATTCATACATTGCATACATGGAATGGAAGGATATAGCGTTAAGGAATTTAGGTATAAGGACCATACAAGATTGAAAGCTCATCTTGACAGTGAACCTCTTATTATTTTATTTTTTATTTGCCACTTCTCGAATTATTATTATTATTATCTAAAAGAAAAAGGTAACCGTTTCCAATAGAATGAGAAATTTTCACAAGCCGAAATTGTACAGTAATGAACAGGTGACATGGCCGCATGCTATGTTATTTTGGTACGAACAGTGTGCATGTTGTTGTTTATCGCGGGCGAGATGGGATTGCGGACAGCTTTCTCGGGGTGGTCAACTGGTCAACGGCTCGTTGCACAATTGTTGTGTACCGCACCGTTGCCGTCGCGTCGCCGACCGCACCACTGTCACTACCACAGACATTGCCTTCGAAAGCACGATCACTCGCCGCTACAGTCCAACGGACTCGATAAAGGTCGTTTTATGTTGTCTATCTACATTAACTTCTTATAAAACTTTCCAAAAAAGACACAAGTTATTTAAAATGTAGCGATCGTTGGTACTCAGTTTTCTTTGGCCCTAAACGACCTGGCATGAATATGTAAGTTGAATAATAACTATTGTGAGTCATACTATGTTGTAATTATTTATATCGGCTTTACTCACGTATTAAATTCGGAAATGCCCGACTAGTTTTGGCTTCGATAAGAACTCTTATTCATGAGCGTGGTTTATATTTGTTCTGTCAAGTTTGAAACTACTCGTAGCTGGCATCCCCAAATTGAATACGTAATTAAAGCTGATATAAATAATTACAAAATATAAGTTGTAATGAAAGGTTTGCATTAAACTTATCGTAATAATGTGGTCATTTATATCACTGTACATTAGTACCTATATAAGGCTAAATTAACAATTCTCAGGTCCTGTTCTTGTAGACCTATATTAGGTCATAATAATACCCTCATAATATCTCTTTACAAAATCATCGTCGTGATCAACATACGTAAGGGACTCTACTATATCATCAATAGACAGACATAAATGTTATTAATCTATTAAAACTGTATATGAAATGAGAACGGCATCGAAAACAAATGTTTATTAACGGTATGAGTAATACCAAGCAGAATTTGCCTACGTGAATGATCAACTAGACAATATTAGTAACCTTGAATGTGCCGAGAAGTTGTTGATTCTAATATTATACTTATTATCATCGGACTAGAAGGCCTTGGCATCGAAATCGCAACGCTGATCCTCATCCAAATGGGAACAACGAATCCAAATGCGGCTTAGTCATCAATGCAAAAAAATTTCATGGGTTCATTGGCCATAAATCGTCTCCTGAGTCGGTACTGTATAGGAAGTGAGGCTATATTTATAGAGTTTGAAGCTCGCATGCGTCGCGTCGCTTGCGCATGTTGCGCCGGCAGCGGTTGCGGCGGCGGCGCTGCTCGCTACCGAGGCCGGAGGGGCGCCAGTGCTCTCCAAGACTCAGTCACGCTCGGTGCTCGGTGCCCGGTGCCTCTCGCTGATAGCGCGCTCGCTCACGCAACCCTCGATCTATGTACGAATCCATCGCGTTTTGAAATCATTCAAGTGTGCCAGTGATAATTTCGATAGCGTCTCGCCAATCGGGCATCGATAGCTATATACTCGGACGATAAAGTGTCGGCGCGTTGCCGAATCGTGCCGAATTCAAGTTTTTCACGCTGACGAAACGTCGAGATAAATTCTACGAGTGTGAATTTACACGGGATTCTGTTACTATTATTACATTATCCTTGTGTGAGTTGGTAGTGTAAGAAATTAGTGATCGAAGATGAGGCCTAAGGAGGAGGCGGCGGACACTAAAGTCCAAACAGGAGGGACTTTTATATTGTCCGAAAAAATAGACGATACCAAAACGAAGAAAACTGAAAAGGAAATAAAGAAAGAGATGAAGAGATTAGAAAAAGAGAAGCAGGAACGGGAGAAGAGGGAAAAGAAGGCCAGAGAAAAGGAAAGGGAACGTGAAAAGCAAGCTAAAAAAGGTCAGCATACTGTGTATTCCTTTATCACCGGGTTGTATTATCTTGATATTATCATATCTTCACTTTTAGTAGTTTTTGTATTCAATCAATAGTATGAATTTTTGCCACATTCTCATACGTGGCTATTCACATGCGTATTGTAGGTATTATATTGTTTTCGGAGTTACATCATTAGCGGTTCGACCTTGATAATACGTCATTTATTAAATATGCCTTAGTGATTACTAAGCGCATGTTAGATTTAGTATCTGAATAATTAAATATATCAACAATCATTTAATTCTTCATTAACTGTGTATTTACTACTGGATCGTAGTATAGTGTATTATTTAATTTATTGATAGTATTACTCTTTTCATATTCTTACATTTGAAACTAAATTATCAATTTGGTTCATATCAATAACCGTTATTGCAAAAACATAAACGATTATAAACTTAAAAACAAAATACAAAAACAGTATAAGTTATACCTAATTAGGAATTACACGACCAAAATGGTTACCAATCAGTCAGGTGTCTAGGCATTTATACAAACGCTAAACGCTGATTATCTGTGGAGCCAATGGGAGTGGTACATAATGCTACTGAGTAGACATATTACTATTGACAGACATTTATTTTCTTTTTTTTAATGGGTGCTATGTAATGGTAATCCCCCCTGCGCTAACGGTACACGCTGGCGGGGCTTCAGTAAGGGATGTTAGGTGACAATGAAAGACAGATCAGTTAGCCCATCGTGATGAATACACCTGGAATTCAGCATGCAGTAGCGATGGTTTCAAGGGAGACCACTGGAGGCCGACCTGCCAGGATACATTGCTAGCAATGTACCCTGGCACTGTTCGGACTGGTAGTCCGCATTACTAACAATCTTAAACACCCCAAAAGAGAGACATTACTTTACGCTTCTATTTTTCTTATATATATTCTTTATTGCACTAAAACATACAGTAACAACAATAAGTTAATAACAATGTTAGCAAAGGCGAACTTATCTCTAAAAGAGATTTCTTCTTAAGATTAGTTAACGCTGTGGCGTCAACTACGTTCAGTGCAGATGTCGGCATTCTTATCAGATGCACATGATTTGCTGGTGTCGAGAAACTCGATAGACCGCGTGTCATTTACCTTTGTGTTCTTAGAAAATATATTCTCAAAATACTGCGACACGTTTCCCGCATACTGACATTTTGGCACTCGCACCTCCGACACATATTCCTAAATTTATCATATTTATTCTCGTTTTATCGGCCGTTTCATATCGGCGTATTTATGCTAGCAGTAGTCTTTGCTGCGTCTGTAATATTAAAATGACAGATCCTCTAGTCATGTTCAGTTTACTTGTGACTTACTAGCTCATACTCGCGACTTTGCTCAAGTGGATTTATATAAAACATTTTATATGTTAATACGAGATTGGACATTTTGTGTGCCAAATTTTATTTAAATCCATTTGATTTTATATGCGTAACTGGATAATTAATAACCGAACATCATTAATTATTTTAATATATTTTAGTGGTAAGTTGCGCTATCGGTATACGCTGACGGGGCACCAGTGAGAGATGATTGGGGAGGATGAAAAGGCAGATCAGTTAGCCCATCGTGATGAATTCAACGCTAAAATAGTCACGATGGTTTTCAGGGGGAACAGCGTGGAGGTCGACCTGATGGGGTATATTGATAACAACCTATATATCCATTAGTAACAATCCCTTCCCCCCACTATTCTCATATTTATAATATTGTATGTAGTTTAATATTCATAAACTTATGTTATCATTACTGCAATTTGGTAAATACTGTGTAATAAAGAGGAAAGGGATTGTTAGTAATGGACCCATTGTCAGCAATACGTCCTATTAGGTCGACCTTCACGTGGTTCCCCCTGGAAACTATCGTGGTTTATTCTAGTGGAATTCATCAGGATGGGCTAACTGACCTGTTTTCATTGTCACCTATCATCCCTCACTGGTGCCCTGTTAGTGTATACCGTTATTGGGGTTACCATTCCATCATCACCCATTAAACAAAATACGTCGTCGTCAACTTTGAGCTAACCTCTTACAAAAATTTCGTGGATGCTATCTCTATACTTCTATATTTAAACGTTACATGTAATGAAGAGTCATTTTAAGCTATCGTATGACTAAGATAAACGTGATCTGTCATACTAATGGACTTTTGATTAAATATAATCAAAGTTGCATGTTACATACCATTATGTTATTACGAAGACAAATCTCTCATTGTTTTGAAATTTTAAAGGCGCATTACTTTTGCAAATTTTGCCATCGACGCTAATGACAGAGGCCTTGTTATTAAATCGAAACATTTGTTATGGAAAATTGGCGTAACTGAACCTAAAAATTGCTAACTATGCATTACGTGTTTTCTAAATGATAAAAAAGGTAATAAATTTTAAAAGAAACGAGTAATGAGTTCGTGTTTGAGTTTAGAATAAAAATAAGATTCAAGACTTGGCTAAAATCACTGTAAATGCTATTAAGTCACCCCTAAAGATGTAATTTCATGCAGGCGTTAAATTGAAATAGGATATTCGGATGACAGTTTGACCAGCCATCGCATTCTACTTTCTTTTTATGAAGCTTAGAATGGCAAACAAGCTGACGGCCCACCTGATGAAAAGTGGTAACTGTTGCCTATAGACATGAACAACAGTACCATGGACATAACAGAGTATACGGTATCGCTCATGATACCCTTCATGTGTTACCATTCCTGAGGACTAAGGTTAAATCAAAATACAGCTATGTAAACACAAATGCTTCACGGCAGAAATACGAATAGGACGGAGATATCCAAGCAGAGAACTTTTGTATAAAGTTTCCCTCTGGTTACTACTTGCTCTACGTTATATATGCGTATGTGCATAAAGCTGAAATGGGTTTCAGCTCCACGTAATCATACGTTTATAGAACGCAAGGTTTCTCTTTCAATCTATTATAATACAATTTATGATCGATTCTTGGATTTCACACAAAGGAGCGGCGGGCGTGACTGCACGATACGCTGCAAAGATTTAAGCCGTCTACCGGCAGATTTACGAACTCTGCTTTACATACAAAAGTCAATGTGCCCGTCACGATTTAGCCTGCATTTAAATGAGCCGGCCGCGGAGAAATTGTACGCAAGTTCCTTGCCACTACTTATTTGGCCAGTTTGAGCAAAACGGCTTTCTTGGCTCTTTTCATTCTCGTTTCCTGTAGGGCGACTAGCCGAGCTTCCTTATTTCTTTTATTCATTGTGAAGTGAAAAGTCGACAGTGGACTCGATTGTTCCGCTGAGCTTTACTAATTAGCACGCACATTGTAGTTTCTGTGTTAACTCGCCATGTTATTCTTTTCCCACTTCACTGTGCAAAGTTAACATTGTTTTAAGATAGTTTTAATTGTGTGATATGTTATAGTGTATGTAATGTAATATTATAGTAATATAAAACTTGTTCGATGAAGTCCATTTCAATAGACGAGCAAGGTTATTGTACACAAAAAAAAACAAGTTGTGTTTGCGTTAGATTGCGATCTGTCCGAGTTGCGTCAATTTTGAAGTGGATAATTTAAAACGTGTTTTATGCACTCAAGAATTATAATAACTTTGAACAATCTTAGGCCGTGACCCTCAGATAGATGTAAGAAAACTTTTACTTTGAGATCGAGTAACATTTTCACGTCTTGCCGTTTTTTATGTGTAACTCATGGAGCCTTCGACACAAAGTTTAAAATTAACGAGAGCTCCTCATTATAGGCGGTTGCCGACACTGTAAATCGACATATTGTTAGGAATGCGGACATTAAAATCTTGCTTGATATAACAAATCATAGACCTTGTCTTATAATGCTAGTGTTGTTGTAATATTATGCGTAATATTCAGAGGTAATTTATAAATGTATGATGATTAATAATCTGTGATAAATTCGCCGCCGGACCTTGAGAAGTGCATGCAAATGGTTCAACTAATGAATAGTACTTGTATTTATACTGGTATTTGTTTAGTATTCTATGCCACAAGTATAACATTGTTCGTGCAGGTACATCTGTGTACCATAGGTTTATAATTTCGGTTGCGTGATGTGTTGCGAGGCACCGCTGCGCCCGAAAACGAGTCCGTCACGAGTGTCTGCGGATTGCGATTATCCCACTGTTCGCTTTTTACAGCGTAGTTGCCACAAATTACGCCCCGTCGTCCATCGTTTGTGTATCGAACCATTTTCTTCTGTATTCTAACATGATCTTCTTCGCTTTTTGGTAGCCATGTGCGTGATTATCCACACTCTTCCGTTAGTTAATTTCAATTTATGTCGTAGTTTTTTTAATATTTCTTATTTGTTATAAAATTTTATATATTTTATAATTACTGAAACAGTCTTTCATTCCATATAATTTCTCTATCGATAATTTAAAGAAAGCCATGATGAAATAGTTTTAATGAATACATATGCCGAGTGCATATGCTTTAGTTATTTAATTTTAAGTAAATTTCTGATGTCTACACTAATATTGTAATGAGGAAAAACTTAATTGCTTGTTTGTAATTGATAAACTTAAAAGCTACTTAACCTATTTTAAATATTCTTTCATCTATAAAAATATTATTAGTCAGTAATACAGGCTTTATATTATTTTCGGAAATTTTAACTACCCGTGGGAAGCCGGGTTAGATTGTCAGTATTTTAAGAGAAATTTTTAGAGAATATTAACATAATAAAGATTTTTACCGGTTAAAGATTCTCAATTGCAGTATTTTTACGTGTCTCCTTAAATTGCAGGAAATAAGAAAGTTCTTAATTCATTAAACCTATATTTTTTATTATTGTGATTATTTCGCCAATTCTGAATAAATTTTATAGTCAGACCACTGTACTTGTAAACGAATGGTTTCACGTTCTAAATAATAATAATATTCTTAATATAATGTGTTTACGAAATATTTTCCTTCATCTATATAATGTTACGATGTGTTGATGTCAATTCCCT